GATCTCCACAGCCAGCTCTGTACTTGACAGGCAGATGGTGCTGAGGAAATGCTTGTAGAATCCATGAGGAACAGTGTGCAACTGGACCATAAAAAATATAGGTGGGACTCACTGAAGGATGATCCATATAAAACAGATGGAAGAGGAAGAGGTAATTGAGTGAGTTAGCCAAGGATGTTTGGGTTTAGAGTTCATGAAAAATGACAGGACATGCTTCAGTTTATACAGAGCCATGCCATGAAGAATAAATAATTTCTTTTTCCTGCAAGTAATTCACACTTACTGAAACTTACTGAAAAAAGAAGACAGGTTTGCAAAGAATCTACAGCACAAAGAAGTTGCTAATACCACTCATGATTTCCATAGCCCACAGGATCAGGCATAAGAATACTAGGCCAACAGCAATCACTACAACAGGTTAATTAGTGTAAGTCAAATATCAATGGGAGCCATGTGGGATTTGCTCACATTTTACTAAGAATAAGGAAGAAAGTGAAACAACAAAGTTTTCTACTGGGGCCTTGACTTAAATGGCATACCTATTATCTAAATTGATGCTACTATTTGGGGTGGACCATGTTTCCTGGAAACGAATTAGTTGAAAGCAAGTCTCTATAGTCTAAAGTTCTATACATGTGATGAACTCCTTAGAGGCACCTTTGAAGTACAAATGTGCTTTCACACATATAACAGTATAGCATCATCTCTGCTTTCAATAAACAGAGAAAAAAGCCACCATCTCAGAAGAAGAAAATATGACCTGTATGAACCTGGGACCTTACTTTCAGGCCCCCTATCATTCATGATGCTATGTCACACTTCAATAACCAGACTGGCTCTGTGCCTCTGCTTCAATCTGATTGAATCTAGGTTGCTTGGCAGCTTCAGGACCCAGCAGCTAAATGAATGGGTTTGTATTTTTGAAATGAGACTGAGTGCTAATGAACTGAAAGAGAGGTGGAGGGGAAGTGAGGAGTGCCTAACGCTTGAGGACTTTTCTCCAGGTCCTCCAAACACCGAGGGAAGAGAAGATGGCTGCAAAGATGCCTACAGGCAGTGAAGAACCAACTCTTGCCCCCTCCACACTTGCTCAGAGCATCCTGCCCTCCTGCACTCTGAGGCCTTCACCCAGCCCCGTGGACTGTACATGCACTGTCTGGATCCTGTTACCAGCATCAGAAGATGAAAGCTTCCCAGTCTGGCCTCTGGAGATAAGGAGATACCATGTTTGGAGGAGAGATTTCAAGCATACCAAGGAATCTTTTTCTGTGTAATTGACTTTCCCCAAGGGAAGAAGAAAAACATGTTCAAATGGGATATATAAAATAAGTATAAGAGAAGAATGTATGGATTTTTAATATTTAAAGGGTAATCCTGTTTGAACTGGTATTAAAGAAAGTGGATAAGTGGGAGTCAGGCAGACTTGCTTCCAGTCCTCTGACCTTCATAAAGTTGTTCAAAATTACTGGCCCTCAGTTTTCCTAATGATAGGGTTGAACCAGATACAGAGTACCTGAGAGGCCTGGTGAGCAGCAGGGGGCCATCACCTTCCCCATTTTTTAAAACAGTTCATGTCTTTAATACACTTAAGTTAAGATGAACAAAAATAAACAAAAAGTCAGGTGGTTTTAAAGGTCCTGATGACTCCATCATTTGTAGGACAAAAATGAAAACAACAACAAGCTTAAGAATTATTATCTTAATTATATACCTGTGATAAAGCTAGGAAAAAAGTTAAAACTGCTTACAATCTCTGGCCCTCTCCTTCTACCTCCCTTTTTGAATACCTGGGAATGTGCTAGCTAAAATATTTCCAGAAATTCCTAGATAATTACAGGGAGCTTGATTCATACCCAAGACAACATCAGTGGTGTTCTTTGAAGTGTGGCAATTGGCGGCCGGTGGCCCTAAGGAAGATGCTTGTAGAGTAGAGGGCCTGTGTTGGCCTCCTGTCTCTGCTGCTTACTAGTATGACCCTTGGCAAGCTACTTCATAATCTCTTTGATCCTATTTCCTTCTCTGAAAAATGAAGATAATAAATCGTATTTGCTATAAAACGAAATGAGGTAACACATGTAAAGACCCTGGTGGGGGTCAGCCCACCAACACCAACATTAGTTCTCTCAAGGAACAGAATCTATCACATTGCACACGACAGGGAACAACTGTGTCTAGGACTTGTGGCATGTACTATAAGGACAGATCAAAAGATACTGTGAAATTTGAAACAGTTCTTATCTGAAGATGGGGTTCCCCAAAAGTGAAAGGGGTCCAAATGTAGGGACCTAAGAACTACACACTTTTCAAGTCTCTGAACTGTGGTAACCAGGCAGAAAGGAAGACTAAGCAGTAGGTAATTAACGAGGGGGTATGATACAATGTTATCAAGGATAAGCAACTGTTTAAGTAAGACAGGCTGCACTCAGTAAGGACATATGTGCTGCCAACAAATTACAAGGAGCTTAATTCAAACTTTTTTGCTTTCTTAGGAATCAAGGACCAGCCAATATTTAATCACATTAAATCTGTTGATTCATAGATTTAGAAGTAATTAACCTACACAATAAAGCTGTAATTTATAACTTAGGAACTATAGATTCTCAAAATGATACAACTAAAAGGTATTTTAGATATTGTCTAGCCTAACTTGCACCTGTTACACCAGGAAAGCTGACATGTAAGAAAGTAAGAGATACACCAACGGTCCAAAAGGCAGAGCCAATTCTGGCACTTGGTCTCATTAACTTGCTCTTTTTCTTACTACAGGGAATCAACCTGTAAGTCATTAGCTCTATCCAATATCCATCCCAATGATTTAACACTGAATATGTGGATTCCTGTCTCAGCTCTGCATAGCTTGGGGTTTGTAGGGCCCTGGAAGACATCTGAGGGGCTGGGTCGACGACTGACAGCAGTAGCTGGGTGAGAACACTGTGCACGCATGTCTGAGGACATTTGAGAAGAGCACGGACAATGGCTATTATGGACCTGCAAGTCTGGGATTGGGGTAGTGGAATTAGGGTCTATTAAGAAACCACATACAGAATGATTCTCCATATCCAGGTGTCATACCCACTATCACAGTGACTAGTGCATAGTAGGTACTCAGTCCTTACCTGTTGTGTGATGATTCATTAGGAGTGAATGAATGAATGAAAGGCCCAATTCTGAGAGGAGAAGTGAGAGTTTAGGGGGCAAAAAAGAAGAGGCACTGACTAGTGCAGGAGTCCCCGGGAGAAGAGGAAGCGAAGGGAGTCACTAAAGCTTCCCCAACCTCCACGTGAAGGACGCAGGTCGTTTCCCTTGCAAGGACGACGGAGTGAGTGTGTGGCCCTCTTATTCTGCCTCCCATTTCCATCCTGAGGAAGCACAGTTGCTCCCATGGCATTGTTTCTGCTTCTGGCCACTCTGCTTTCAGCTGGAGCATGGAGAAGTGGACTGCTCAAGGGAGGCTACTTCCAAGGGCAACAGAACACTGAAATCCATAATGGCATGTTATTTTTATGGAGAGTCTGCTAAGTGCTTGCTATGCAAGCTACTGACCACACTGACATTGCTGGGGAAACATTTCATAATAGGAACTTAAGATCGAGAAACAAAACTGAATGCTAAGAGAATGGATTCTAAGGTAGTAGTTCTAAGACAGCAGAAAATCCTACGTAATGAGGAATGAAGGAAAGCTGGGATTTCTTGGTCAATCTTCCATTCACTGAGCAGTGCATCCATCTGTGGTTATAAGTCCAGTGCGCTTTGACCTTCTGCCAGGTCTGCTGAGACCAGACTTCCAAAGCAGGATTCATTTGGAAAGCATTGGTGGCACAGACATGATAAAAAGCTACATCTCATTGTATTTCTAAACAGTAAAAGGATAGGGTCTGATCCACCCTTTCCTTTCAACATCTATGTCTAGTAGTTTTCACTTTTATACCATAGGATGTGGCCACTTGGAAGAAAATAGGCACCACCCGTCACCTCTTATACTCTTTCAGGACTAAATAGAGAAGCTACAATAAAATATATTGTAAAAAAATATTCTGCATCAATGCCTACAAAAGACCTTTAAAGGTTCTTCTGATGTAACCAACTTCCTATTTAGTAGGCATAACAACATCTCAGAGGACAACAATAAAGTATTGCACAGTGTCTTCCCCATATGACATCTAGCAGACTAAGAGCAAAACGATAGTGTGTACCTCAGTTGCTAGGACAGAATAATGGATCCACCCCATGTTCATGTGGAAGATATGCAGCCCAAGGAGAAGATGTAATGTCTCTAACGTGACCTTCATTGGACATTTGATTAAGATAAAGTCGTTGCATTAAAAAAAATCTTCCAAAAACCAGAACAAGTTAGTGAAGAGACCAATGATATAAACACTTTCTCAACTCACAGAGTGATTGGCAAGGTTTTTAAAAATATTTTTAGCACAGTTTTAATTTCCTGAAAAGAAACGTATTGAACACGCTCTGTTTCTCGTTAAACTGCCAGTGCAGGCACTGATTCCTCAAGGCTGGCTTAGAGCACTCATCCCAACTTGGCTCTGAGTGCCGTTCAAGGAACAAATGGGAGGCTCCCTGCTATTTGAGAGAGACAGCAAATAAGAATTTTTATACTGATAATTATAAAATATCTTGAGAAATACAGGAAAAAGCAACCCAGAAAACAATTACAGAATTGTTCTGTAATTCAAGTAGAAAATGGTAGTAAAGAAACCAAACTGGAAGGTTTTTCTCATGAAAGGACAGGTCTGTTCTCATAGGACAAATACTCTCAGCTATGTGGCTAATTGTTCTAGAAAGATCAGCTTTTGAACAGCACAAAAACCTACCCTGAGTCTACATTAGCATACAACCAACTCCCTAGCATGGTTCTTACGCTGTCCAGCTTTCAGCACCTTGATTTTTTTTGTCTTTAATTATTCAGTGGAACACCTAACATTTTATGTGAAGGTGGAGTCTCAGGAGATTGGATGACTGAAGCCACACAGATGCCCACTCACCTCCCGTGACTTTGGACTGGCAGTTGATAAACTCCGGCTTCCTGTCTGTGAGGTACCTCTGGCAGGTATGATGGAGGATCTGGAAGAAGGTGCATTTTTCTGAGGCTGTGCTGGCTACCCACTGGTCAAAGGCATTTTCAAACAACAAATCAAACTCTGCAGAATCCTGGAAAAGACAGTGAAATAACTACTGATCTCAACCAATAAAATCTACTGCTTCCAGTCTACACCCCAACAGACTCATACAGGCTAAAATACCTTTCAAAACTGTGATCCTAATCATAAGGCTCATCTTTATTCACATCCAGGTGTATGGAGAGTCCACCTTTCTCTGTTTGTCAGGCAAACTCCAAATGTTACAATATTCATAGGTGTCCCTTGAGAGCTAGTGTCACAGACATCCTTATAGCCTACTACACAAACTTGTGTCAGAATTCAGAACACATATTATCTGAATTCTACATATTATCTGGAAAACAATTCTGTCAGGTTCTCAGCACTGAACCACATTAATCTTGCCCCTAACTTTTGGCTGGAAAAGATTCCCCCTCTTATTTTTAGCATATGGTTACAATATAATTTTATTTTTCCTCATTATTGATAAATAAATGTTTCTCATATTAAATCCAGTAGAATCCTAATACATACTTTTTAAGGTGGCCATTCATTTATTTTGGGGGTAAATAAACCTCATCACTGGTGGCATTAGGCGATACATGAAGCTTTGATGAACATCAATTTTTCATACTGATAACCATGGACGTGCTATTTGAACTATGCTCTTTGCACCTTGCTGATAAACATGTTACTGGAGCCAGCACTCCTTCAATATGTATACCCTTAGGTTCCCATATCAAATGTGATGAAAAGATTTACAATTACCCATGAGAAGGGCACATAGATCAGAAAGTCTTAGTCATATAACTGAAATAGGGAAACAGCTTTGTTACAAATGACTCAGACAACCACCACAACTGCCAAGGTCAATGTGAGCACCATCGTGTGAAGAGAATGCCTTCTCTCAGCCCCGGACAGTTCACTCACCCGATTAGGATCGATGCCGTTAACCTGGCGAAGCTGCTCCAGCATCCACTGTGATCTCCGCACAAACGACGTGGAGCCTTCAAACTGTTTGACCTTTGTGATGGACGCCTGTGTGGGCTTCTTGTTTGTCACTGCCAAGAAAAGAATGTGTGCCTTTGGTGAGACGTGAACTCCAAAGAAATAGGAGTTATAAACTCCACACTCAAGTGATTACAATATAATTACAATTGTAAGGACTGCTTCTTTTTTTATCTCCATTCAAACTGCACACTACTTAACCTTGTAACACAAAGTTCCTATAATGGAGGCTAAAAGTGTGGAGGGACAAACTGCAGGGAAAGAAGCAGACAGGCTGACAGGCACTCGGGGGGAAAGGCTGAATTTTAAAGGAAGTAGAGATAACTGGATCTCCCAGGGAACTGCAAAGCATATATCTAATTTTTTAGTCCAGTGTATATGTTTTAGGCTTCAGTGATAAGGAGAAATACCTCATTCAAAAAAAAAAAGAACTGTTTGGCTTTAAAATATAGTCCAGTTTGTATCTAGTTTGCATCTGATTATGACTGTATCTGAACTTTTGGGTGCCCCACCCCCCTATATGAATTCCTGAGGTCACCAAGGCCCAGAACAGTCCCTCCTCCCAGCCTTAGTCCATTCTTACCTCACCCCCTTCCCTGCTAAGGATGGACAGTGTCACCCCTCAGAGGTCAAAGCCCCAGCCCCAGGAAAGTCACTCTTCTGGATATTTCATTGTCTGCTTGTTTCATGACTTAGAGCCTCAAGGGTAGGGAGACAGATAATTAAGTGTTTTGAGCCCTGGCTGTGGGACTGTAAGATCTAATAGAAATGATGCTACTAAGGGAGCTAGGAAGGTAGAAAGCACTACTTATAATGAATGCAACCCTAATAAGACTGTGCATCAGTGGCAACATTCTTTCTTTGTTTCAAATAACCTCACAGGTCCTCTATTTTCAAATAACTTGAAGGTGTTCTACAGATGGTACAAGGAATCCTACAGGGATGAAGGACAGAAAGCAGCAATCCAGTCATGGCTGACAGTAAGAAGACCCTCCTTTACTGCACACTAGAATTTATTGCAGTCTCAATGTTTGGGGACATTAAAGCAGGAAAACAGGGACCAAGAGGGGAATGAAATGTGGGCACCCCGCCTTTAGGCCTTTAGGTCTGGTGAGAACCGCATGGTCCAAGACTGAAGACTGCTTTTATGACCTCAGTACATCTTCTCCCTTTGCGCCGAAGCAGAATTTAGCAAACGTTTTTAAACTTTTCAAATAATGCTTAGATTTATTACCCATTTATTCGGTTATATTTGGCAAAAAACTTCTGAACATTTCACACCAATTACATACTTTCAATGTTTAAAAAGTCATCCCCTTAACACCCGAGATCAGAGGAAGTTTTACGGTGTTCTGTTCACAAATGTCTTGTCTGGCCTACAGCTCTGCATGTAAACCTATGAAGTCCTGTTAAGAATAACCATTCCCTTAACAAAATTCAGGAAATATTACCAATCTACCCAGGGCTCTATCCATTGAATTTACTTCATTTATTTTGTGTACCTTCTATGACACAAAAGGGAGATATAATAGATTTCTCCAACAATTACACACTGCTCTTGTGTTTTAATGTTAAAGGAAACGACGCACCTGGAATATATGCAGGTCCCAAAATGCGCTTGAAAGATTAAAGAATGCTTTTCAATAACAGGAAAACATGAGTTCCTGTATTAGACACACCCACTCCCCAGCCCCCACCCCCAAACACACATGGAAGATTTCCTCCTTTGTTTATGTAAATCACACAACATTTAGGTATTCTGAGAAACAAGAAGGTTTTCCTTCTAAGTTTAAAGTTGGTATGATCTCCTCTTTTTTCTTCTGGCCCACTTATTTCTAGGTAGTTTATAGCATTATAAAAGCCCAAACACCATGCAGGATCGGACTGTAATTACTGGCATGTTTGAGACTGACATTTTAGGAAGGCAAGTTCCATTGGAAGTTTGTCACTGAAACGAGAAGGGCAGGAACCCCACCCACATTAACAGATGCCCCACGGAGTTGTTCAACAGCAATCGCACTGCAGAACAATCATTTCTAACAGAGCAGTTACAATTCCACTCATTCCTGCCTTGTTCCCCATTAGTTAATTCCTTGCCCAGTTCTTGGAATCTGGGTAGTTTTCCTGGGCACCGAGCCTGGTTTGGTTTAATTTTTGTTTGTTGTTATTACCTCTAACATCCTAGTTTCTATTTTAAAGCAGATGCCTTAAAATTATATTATTATATACACATTAGAGTTAAATAGACTTTCCCTTCTAAAATCAAAACATTTACACAAACACACCATTGCTAGACTTTCTGAGTTCTGTGCTTAAAGGAGACATGTTTTAGTCTCTTCCTTGTTTTGGTGTTTTCAGGGTCCATAGCTGATTAAAAATAAGCCAGTCAAATTCTGGATGTCTAGTGAAAAACAGTAATGTATCTTCTTCTTCCAAAGGAAAGCTAATTGATAGCATAGCTTGGAAAATGCAACCAAATGACCCGGATCAGTAATATCATAGTGCTGTATGTCCAACTACCCCATAAAAAAGAGTCCATATTCATTAATCTATATAACTTTAAAGCCCAGATAACCAAGGCATTTCTGTTATCTCTTCAACATTCATGAGGAAAAGGTAACACAGGCATTTACTGAGGTAGGGTGAGCATGATATTCCCAGGTGATACTGCAGGCTACCCAGAATCAGCCTGGTCCCCTGGTTCTCCACTCCAACCACACATCAGAATCACCTGGGACTTTTATCACCCATGCATCAAACGGTGAATCAGAATTTCTGGGGGTGTGGCCCTGGCATCCACATTTAAAATCTCCCCAGGTGGTTCTAAGACACACTGACTGCTAAGACCACAGATTTTGTGTATTTACTTATTTAATAAATATTTATGGAACATTCATTAGCTGGTGGACACAGAAGTAAGATCTGTGGGCAATTCAAAGATTTGAAATGTAGCTCTAAATTAGGAACTTGGGTAGGAGGATGCAAAACAGTATTAAAGCATAATAGGGTAAGTGACATAGGAGTCATCTCAGGGGAGGAAGGGGGATTTAAGGACCGAGCTAGAGTCGGGGCAAGTCTGGGAGGCTCCACAAAGCAGCCGTATTTTGGATACACCATTAGCCCTCACCTGGAATTCTGTGATTCTCCCCAAATGTGCTTCTCTGACCAGCTTGGCCATTCAAACAGTAAGTATAGAAGACCAAACCATCTTTTAAAAACACCAGAATGACATCCCAAAGCATTTGGAATAACACCCAAGCTCCTCACCATGACTTGCAGAGCCCCAGAGGTCTGGTCCTTGAGGGTCTCTCCATTCTCAGCTGATTCCAATCTCCTTTTTGTCCACCAGGCTCCAGCTTCCTTTTGCTCTTGGGAAATAACCAACTTGTCCTTCTCTTTGCAAATGCTGTTCCCTACAAAGAAATACTACCTTCCCTGTTTTTTATGGCTGCCTCTTGTTTACTACTCCATTTTCGACTTACATGTCAACTCCATAGAAGAAAACCTTGTTATCATTTTATCCAAGTAGGTTTCCCCACCATGTTATTTCTTTCACTCAGCTATGCTCATTGCAAAACAGGCTCATTTCAAACATGGATAAAATATTCAACATTTACTTCTCTGACATTTTTGTGCAGAATAAAAATCAGATTGCTATCATATCCATCTAGACCTGAAATATGTAAGGTGTGGATAAATTCCCACACAGATCTTCTAAGCTACCTCCTACCAGTATGTCATGTAGGAGCCTCAGTTTGACATAATAACAAATGAGTTTTCCACAGCATTTAAAAATTTTAAAAATCTTTTAAAAATACAGCTTCTGGTTTTCTTTTCTACCTGGATACATGTCTGTGAAGGAGGCAGGGTGATTGCTAGTTCCCCCATTACACTTACAGACAAGGAAACAGGCATAGAAAGCACTGACTAGGCCAAAGTAACACTCTGAGTGAATGGAAAAACTGTAGCTTACACATAGAACTTACGGTCCACGGCTCCTGCCAGCATAGATTTTGCTGTAATGTCAAATGCCACATTTTAATGGCTGTGAGATACTCATTAAGTAAGGATTCAATCATTTTATTCTAAAAAGGATGCCTAGTGTTATGATTTTGACAATATCCTGAACTGTNCGAGGGAAGAGAAGATGGCTGCAAAGATGCCTACAGGCAGTGAAGAACCAACTCTTGCCCCCTCCACACTTGCTCAGAGCATCCTGCCCTCCTGCACTCTGAGGCCTTCACCCAGCCCCGTGGACTGTACATGCACTGTCTGGATCCTGTAACCAGCATCAGAAGATGAAAGCTTCCCAGTCTGGCCTCTGGAGATAAGGAGATACCATGTTTGGAGGAGAGATTTCAAGCATACCAAGGAATCTTTTTCTGTGTAATTGACTTTCCCCAAGGGAAGAAGAAAAACATGTTCAAATGGGATATATAAAATAAGTATAAGAGAAGAATGTATGGATTTTTAATATTTAAAGGGTAATCCTGTTTGAACTGGTATTAAAGAAAGTGGATAAGTGGGAGTCAGGCAGACTTGCTTCCAGTCCTCTGACCTTCATAAAGTTGTTCAAAATTACTGGCCCTCAGTTTTCCTAATGATAGGGTTGAACCAGATACAGAGTACCTGAGAGGCCTGGTGAGCAGCAGGGGGCCATCACCTTCCCCATTTTTTAAAACAGTTCATGTCTTTAATACACTTAAGTTAAGATGAACAAAAATAAACAAAAAGTCAGGTGGTTTTAAAGGTCCTGATGACTCCATCATTTGTAGGACAAAAATGAAAACAACAACAAGCTTAAGAATTATTATCTTAATTATATACCTGTGATAAAGCTAGGAAAAAAGTTAAAACTGCTTACAATCTCTGGCCCTCTCCTTCTACCTCCCTTTTTGAATACCTGGGAATGTGCTAGCTAAAATATTTCCAGAAATTCCTAGATAATTACAGGGAGCTTGATTCATACCCAAGACAACATCAGTGGTGTTCTTTGAAGTGTGGCAATTGGCGGCCGGTGGCCCTAAGGAAGATGCTTGTAGAGTAGAGGGCCTGTGTTGGCCTCCTGTCTCTGCTGCTTACTAGTATGACCCTTGGCAAGCTACTTCATAATCTCTTTGATCCTATTTCCTTCTCTGAAAAATGAAGATAATAAATCGTATTTGCTATATAAAACGAAATGAGGTAACACATGTAAAGACCCTGGTGGGGGTCAGCCCACCAACACCAACATTAGTTCTCTCAAGGAACAGAATCTATCACATTGCACACGACAGGGAACAACTGTGTCTAGGACTTGTGGCATGTACTATAAGGACAGATCAAAAGATACTGTGAAATTTGAAACAGTTCTTATCTGAAGATGGGGTTCCCCAAAAGTGAAAGGGGTCCAAATGTAGGGACCTAAGAACTACACACTTTTCAAGTCTCTGAACTGTGGTAACCAGGCAGAAAGGAAGACTAAGCAGTAGGTAATTAACGAGGGGGTATGATACAATGTTATCAAGGATAAGCAACTGTTTAAGTAAGACAGGCTGCACTCAGTAAGGACATATGTGCTGCCAACAAATTACAAGGAGCTTAATTCAAACTTTTTTGCTTTCTTAGGAATCAAGGACCAGCCAATATTTAATCACATTAAATCTGTTGATTCATAGATTTAGAAGTAATTAACCTACACAATAAAGCTGTAATTTATAACTTAGGAACTATAGATTCTCAAAATGATACAACTAAAAGGTATTTTAGATATTGTCTAGCCTAACTTGCACCTGTTACACCAGGAAAGCTGACATGTAAGAAAGTAAGAGATACACCAACGGTCCAAAAGGCAGAGCCAATTCTGGCACTTGGTCTCATTAACTTGCTCTTTTTCTTACTACAGGGAATCAACCTGTAAGTCATTAGCTCTATCCAATATCCATCCCAATGATTTAACACTGAATATGTGGATTCCTGTCTCAGCTCTGCATAGCTTGGGGTTTGTAGGGCCCTGGAAGACATCTGAGGGGCTGGGTCGACGACTGACAGCAGTAGCTGGGTGAGAACACTGTGCACGCATGTCTGAGGACATTTGAGAAGAGCACGGACAATGGCTATTATGGACCTGCAAGTCTGGGATTGGGGTAGTGGAATTAGGGTCTATTAAGAAACCACATACAGAATGATTCTCCATATCCAGGTGTCATACCCACTATCACAGTGACTAGTGCATAGTAGGTACTCAGTCCTTACCTGTTGTGTGATGATTCATTAGGAGTGAATGAATGAATGAAAGGCCCAATTCTGAGAGGAGAAGTGAGAGTTTAGGGGGCAAAAAAGAAGAGGCACTGACTAGTGCAGGAGTCCCCGGGAGAAGAGGAAGCGAAGGGAGTCACTAAAGCTTCCCCAACCTCCACGTGAAGGACGCAGGTCGTTTCCCTTGCAAGGACGACGGAGTGAGTGTGTGGCCCTCTTATTCTGCCTCCCATTTCCATCCTGAGGAAGCACAGTTGCTCCCATGGCATTGTTTCTGCTTCTGGCCACTCTGCTTTCAGCTGGAGCATGGAGAAGTGGACTGCTCAAGGGAGGCTACTTCCAAGGGCAACAGAACACTGAAATCCATAATGGCATGTTATTTTTATGGAGAGTCTGCTAAGTGCTTGCTATGCAAGCTACTGACCACACTGACATTGCTGGGGAAACATTTCATAATAGGAACTTAAGATCGAGAAACAAAACTGAATGCTAAGAGAATGGATTCTAAGGTAGTAGTTCTAAGACAGCAGAAAATCCTACGTAATGAGGAATGAAGGAAAGCTGGGATTTCTTGGTCAATCTTCCATTCACTGAGCAGTGCATCCATCTGTGGTTATAAGTCCAGTGCGCTTTGACCTTCTGCCAGGTCTGCTGAGACCAGACTTCCAAAGCAGGATTCATTTGGAAAGCATTGGTGGCACAGACATGATAAAAAGCTACATCTCATTGTATTTCTAAACAGTAAAAGGATAGGGTCTGATCCACCCTTTCCTTTCAACATCTATGTCTAGTAGTTTTCACTTTTATACCATAGGATGTGGCCACTTGGAAGAAAATAGGCACCACCCGTCACCTCTTATACTCTTTCAGGACTAAATAGAGAAGCTACAATAAAATATATTGTAAAAAAATATTCTGCATCAATGCCTACAAAAGACCTTTAAAGGTTCTTCTGATGTAACCAACTTCCTATTTAGTAGGCATAACAACATCTCAGAGGACAACAATAAAGTATTGCACAGTGTCTTCCCCATATGACATCTAGCAGACTAAGAGCAAAACGATAGTGTGTACCTCAGTTGCTAGGACAGAATAATGGATCCACCCCATGTTCATGTGGAAGATATGCAGCCCAAGGAGAAGATGTAATGTCTCTAACGTGACCTTCATTGGACATTTGATTAAGATAAAGTCGTTGCATTAAAAAAAATCTTCCAAAAACCAGAACAAGTTAGTGAAGAGACCAATGATATAAACACTTTCTCAACTCACAGAGTGATTGGCAAGGTTTTTAAAAATATTTTTAGCACAGTTTTAATTTCCTGAAAAGAAACGTATTGAACACGCTCTGTTTCTCGTTAAACTGCCAGTGCAGGCACTGATTCCTCAAGGCTGGCTTAGAGCACTCATCCCAACTTGGCTCTGAGTGCCGTTCAAGGAACAAATGGGAGGCTCCCTGCTATTTGAGAGAGACAGCAAATAAGAATTTTTATATTGATAATTATAAAATATCTTGAGAAATACAGGAAAAAGCAACCCAGAAAACAATTACAGAATTGTTCTGTAATTCAAGTAGAAAATGGTAGTAAAGAAACCAAACTGGAAGGTTTTTCTCATGAAAGGACAGGTCTGTTCTCATAGGACAAATACTCTCAGCTATGTGGCTAATTGTTCTAGAAAGATCAGCTTTTGAACAGCACAAAAACCTACCCTGAGTCTACATTAGCATACAACCAACTCCCTAGCATGGTTCTTACGCTGTCCAGCTTTCAGCACCTTGATTTTTTTTGTCTTTAATTATTCAGTGGAACACCTAACATTTTATGTGAAGGTGGAGTCTCAGGAGATTGGATGACTGAAGCCACACAGATGCCCACTCACCTCCCGTGACTTTGGACTGGCAGTTGATAAACTCCGGCTTCCTGTCTGTGAGGTACCTCTGGCAGGTATGATGGAGGATCTGGAAGAAGGTGCATTTTTCTGAGGCTGTGCTGGCTACCCACTGGTCAAAGGCATTTTCAAACAACAAATCAAACTCTGCAGAATCCTGGAAAAGACAGTGAAATAACTACTGATCTCAACCAATAAAATCTACTGCTTCCAGTCTACACCCCAACAGACTCATACAGGCTAAAATACCTTTCAAAACTGTGATCCTAATCATAAGGCTCATCTTTATTCACATCCAGGTGTATGGAGAGTCCACCTTTCTCTGTTTGTCAGGCAAACTCCAAATGTTACAATATTCATAGGTGTCCCTTGAGAGCTAGTGTCACAGACATCCTTATAGCCTACTACACAAACTTGTGTCAGAATTCAGAACACATATTATCTGAATTCTACATATTATCTGGAAAACAATTCTGTCAGGTTCTCAGCACTGAACCACATTAATCTTGCCCCTAACTTTTGGCTGGAAAAGATTCCCCCTCTTATTTTTAGCATATGGTTACAATATAATTTTATTTTTCCTCATTATTGATAAATAAATGTTTCTCATATTAAATCCAGTAGAATCCTAATACATACTTTTTAAGGTGGCCATTCATTTATTTTGGGGGTAAATAAACCTCATCACTGGTGGCATTAGGCGATACATGAAGCTTTGATGAACATCAATTTTTCATACTGATAACCATGGACGTGCTATTTGAACTATGCTCTTTGCACCTTGCTGATAAACATGTTACTGGAGCCAGCACTCCTTCAATATGTATACCCTTAGGTTCCCATATCAAATGTGATGAAAAGATTTACAATTACCCATGAGAAGGGCACATAGATCAGAAAGTCTTAGTCATATAACTGAAATAGGGAAACAGCTTTGTTACAAATGACTCAGACAACCACCACAACTGCCAAGGTCAATGTGAGCACCATCGTGTGAAGAGAATGCCTTCTCTCAGCCCCGGACAGTTCACTCACCCGATTAGGATCGATGCCGTTAACCTGGCGAAGCTGCTCCAGCATCCACTGTGATCTCCGCACAAACGACGTGGAGCCTTCAAACTGTTTGACCTTTGTGATGGACGCCTGTGTGGGCTTCTTGTTTGTCACTGCCAAGAAAAGAATGTGTGCCTTTGGTGAGACGTGAACTCCAAAGAAATAGGAGTTATAAACTCCACACTCAAGTGATTACAATATAATTACAATTGTAAGGACTGCTTCTTTTTTATCTCCATTCAAACTGCACACTACTTAACCTTGTAACACAAAGTTCCTATAATGGAGGCTAAAAGTGTGGAGGGACAAACTGCAGGGAAAGAAGCAGACAGGCTGACAGGCACTCGGGGGGAAAGGCTGAATTTTAAAGGAAGTAGAGATAACTGGATCTCCCAGGGAACTGCAAAGCATATATCTAATTTTTTAGTCCAGTGTATATGTTTTAGGCTTCAGTGATAAGGAGAAATACCTCATTCAAAAAAAAAAAGAACTGTTTGGCTTTAAAATATAGTCCAGTTTGTATCTAGTTTGCATCTGATTATGACTGTATCTGAACTTTTGGGTGCCCCACCCCCCTATATGAATTCCTGAGGTCACCAAGGCCCAGAACAGTCCCTCCTCCCAGCCTTAGTCCATTCTTACCTCACCCCCTTCCCTGCTAAGGATGGACAGTGTCACCCCTCAGAGGTCAAAGCCCCAGGCCCAGGAGAGTCACTCTTCTGGATATTTCATTGTCTGCTTGTTTCATGACTTAGAGCCTCAAGGGTAGGGAGACAGATAATTAAGTGTTTTGAGCCCTGGCTGTGGGACTGTAAGATCTAATAGAAATGATGCTACTAAGGGAGCTAGGAAGGTAGAAAGCACTACTTATAATGAATGCAACCCTAATAAGACTGTGCATCAGTGGCAACATTCTTTCTTTGTTTCAAATAACCTCACAGGTCCTCTATTTTCAAATAACTTGAAGGTGTTCTACAGATGGTACAAGGAATCCTACAGGGATGAAGGACAGAAAGCAGCAATCCAGTCATGGCTGACAGTAAGAAGACCCTCCTTTACTGCACACTAGAATTTATTGCAGTCTCAATGTTTGGGGACATTAAAGCAGGAAAACAGGGACCAAGAGGGGAATGAAATGTGGGCACCCCGCCTTTAGGCCTTTAGGTCTGGTGAGAACCGCATGGTCCAAGACTGAAGACTGCTTTTATGACCTCAGTACATCTTCTCCCTTTGGGCCGAAGCAGAATTTAGCAAACGTTTTTAAACTTTTCAAATAATGCTTAGATTTATTACCCATTTATTCGGTTATATTTGGCAAAAAACTTCTGAACATTTCACACCAATTACATACTTTCAATGTTTAAAAAGTCATCCCCTTAACACCCGAGATCAGAGGAAGTTTTACGGTGTTCTGTTCACAAATGTCTTGTCTGGCCTACAGCTCTGCATGTAAGCCTATGAAGTCCTGTTAAGAATAACCATTCCCTTAACAAAATTCAGGAAATATTACCAATCTACCCAGGGCTCTATCCATTGAATTTACTTCATTTATTTTGTGTACCTTCTATGACACAAAAGGGAGATATAATAGATTTCTCCAACAATTACACACTGCTCTTGTGTTTTAATGTTAAAGGAAACGACGCACCTGGAATATATGCAGGTCCCAAAATGCGCTTGAAAGATTAAAGAATGCTTTTCAATAACAGGAAAACATGAGTTCCTGTATTAGACACACCCACTCCCCAGCCCCCACCCCCAAACACACATGGAAGATTTCCTCCTTTGTTTATGTAAATCACACAACATTTAGGTATTCTGAGAAACAAGAAGGTTTTCCTTCTAAGTTTAAAGTTGGTATGATCTCCTCTTTTTTCTTCTGGCCCACTTATTTCTAGGTAGTTTATAGCATTATAAAAGCCCAAACACCATGCAGGATCGGACTGTAATTACTGGCATGTTTGAGACTGACATTTTAGGAAGGCAAGTTCCATTGGAAGTTTGTCACTGAAACGAGAAGGGCAGGAACCCCACCCACATTAACAGATACCCCACGGAGTTGTTCAACAGCAATCGCACTGCAGAACAATCATTTCTAACAGAGCAGTTACAATTCCACTCATTCCTGCCTTGTTCCCCATTAGTTAATTCCTTGCCCAGTTCTTGGAATCTGGGTAGTTTTCCTGGGCACCGAGCCTGGTTTGGTTTAATTTTTGTTTGTTGTTATTATCTCTAACATCCTAGTTTCTATTTTAAAGCAGATGCCTTAAAATTATATTATTATATACACATTAGAGTTAAATAGACTTTCCCCTTCTAAAATCAAAACATTTACACAAACACACCATTGCTAGACTTTCTGAGTTCTGTGCTTAAAGGAGACATGTTTTAGTCTCTTCCTTGTTTTGGTGTTTTCAGGGTCCATAGCTGATTAAAAATAAGCCAGTCAAATTCTGGATGTCTAGTGAAAAACAGTAATGTATCTTCTTCTTCCAAAGGAAAGCTAATTGATAGCATAGCTTGGAAAATGCAACCAAATGACCCGGATCAGTAATATCATAGTGCTGTATGTCCAACTACCCCATAAAAAAGAGTCCATATTCATTAATCTATATAACTTTAAAGCCCAGATAACCAAGGCATTTCTGTTATCTCTTCAACATTCATGAGGAAAAGGTAACACAGGCATTTACTGAGGTAGGGTGAGCATGATATTCCCAGGTGATACTGCAGGCTACCCAGAATCAGCCTGGTCCCCTGGTTCTCCACTCCAACCACACATCAGAATCACCTGGGACTTTTATCACCCATGCACCAAACGGTGAATCAGAATTTCTGGGGGTGTGGCCCTGGCATCCACATTTAAAATCTCCCCAGGTGGTTCTAAGACACACTGACTGCTAAGAACACAGATTTTGTGTATTTACTCATTTAATAAATATTTATGGAACATTCATTAGCTGGTGGACACAGAAGTAAGATCTGTGGGCAATTCAAAGATTTGAAATGTAGCTCTAAATTAGGAACTTGGGTAGGAGGGGTAGAAGGATGCAAAACAGTATTAAAGCATAATAGGGTAAGTGACATAGGAGTCATCTCAGGGGAGGAAGGGGGATTTAAGGACCGAGCTAGAGTCGGGGCAAGTCTGGGAGGCTCCACAAAGCAGCCGTATTTTGGATACACCATTAGCCCTCACCTGGAATTCTGTGATTCTCCCCAAATGTGCTTCTCTGACCAGCTTGGCCATTCAAACGGTAAATATAGAAGACCAAACCATCTTTTAAAAACACCAGAATGACATCCCAAAGCATTTGGAATAACACCCAAGCTCCTCACCATGACTTGCAGAGCCCCAGAGGTCTGGTCCTTGAGGGTCTCTCCATTCTCAGCTGATTCCAATCTCCTTTTTGTCCACCAGGCTCCAGCTTCCTTTTGCTCTTGGGAAATAACCAACTTGTCCTTCTCTTTGCAAATGCTGTTCCCTACAAAGAAATACTACCTTCCCTGTTTTTTATGGCTGCCTCTTGTTCACTACTCCATTTTCGACTTACATGTCAACTCCATAGAAGAAAACCTTGTTATCATTTTATCCAAGTAGGTTTCCCCACCATGTTATTTCTTTCACTCAGCTATGCTCATTGCAAAACAGGCTCATTTCAAACATGGATAAAATATTCAACATTTACTTCTCTGACATTTTTGTGCAGAATAAAAATCAGATTGCTATCATATCCATCTAGACCTGAAATATGTAAGGTGTGGATAAATTCCCACACAGATCTTCTAAGCTACCTCCTACCAGTATGTCATGTAGGAGCCTCAGTTTGACATAATAACAAATGAGTTTTCCACAGCATTTAAAAATTTTAAAAATCTTTTAAAAATACAGCTTCTGGTTTTCTTTTCTACCTGGATACATGTCTGTGAAGGAGGCAGGGTGATTGCTAGTTCCCCCATTACACTTACAGACAAGGAAACAGGCATAGAAAGCACTGACTAGGCCAAAGTAACACTCTGAGTGAATGGAAAAACTGAAGCTTACACATAGAACTTACGGTCCACGGCTCCTGCCAGCATAGATTTTGCTGTAATGTCAAATGCCACATTTTAATGGCTGTGAGATACTCATTAAGTAAGGATTCAATCATTTTATTCTAAAAAGGATGCCTAGTGTTATGATTTTGACAATATCCTGAACTGTTATTTCCTTAATATTTCCCTTTAACTAAACTAATTTTTTTACTAAATAAGTTAATGAAAGATAAAATATATTAAAACCATAAATGGATACATAGCTCTGCCTACATTAAATAAAAAGTAATGTTAAAAAATAGAATTAAAACAGACATGCTATTAATTTCAAATTGGAGAGTTGTCCGTGGAGGGCTAAGCATCTGAGATCTACTCTTTCGTAAAACTGTGATAAACAAATATAGATAGGTGTCCAGCACTACCACAACATAGATGTTCCCTAAATATAATCACAAAGCTTAAGTGGAAATGGGTTCTTTGAGACCACAGCTCCATGTACATTGGGACTCACTTGATAAGTCAAGTTTTGGAGTTATCCAAGCCAAACACTCCTTTTTCACTCATTTCCACTCCTGAACCCATTGCTTTCTATGGTGGTATTAGAAGAAGACAGAAGTACAGGGCCAATCAAATTCAGGTCCTATTGCTACCAGCTCTGATAAAAAGAGCATCATTTTCATGGCTGCACGCTTACTCTTCAGCCTTCATGTAGACCTGATCTACATCTCAGCTGTAGTTAAGAAGAAATAATAGCAACTATTACGTGGAGAATATCACTATCATCATTATTCAAGTGTCACTACATCTCTATCTCATGAGCTAATGGCTTAACAAGGTCTTTTAAAAAATGGTCACTCTCTGAAACATTGTGCAATAAGACATTTAGCTATTGTCAAAGAGTGGAGACAACTAATCCTGCTTTTGTCCAATCAGAAAATTTTATTTAATTAAAAACCAATAAGGCAGCCAAGAGCAGGGCTCTTTCTTAGATGGAAACTGGTCTCGCAGCAAGTCAGGCATTGGTGGGAGGGGACAAAGACTGCCGAGGAAAGGAAAGACAGGCATGCAAGCTCCTTGCCTG